ACAGGTGTGAGCCACTGCACACCACTGTGCCCAGCCTAATTTTTGTATTTTTAGTAGAGACGAGGTTTCACCAGATTGGCCAGGCTGGTCTCGAACTCCCAAACTCAGGTGATTCACCCACCTGAGTTCCCAAAGTGCTGGGATTACAGGTGTGAGCTACCGTGCCCAGCCCCTTCCCCTTTTATATTTGCATTCCCTCCACAGAAAATAATGAACCATATGACTCTACTTCCTGAAACTATTCATCAGGTGCACATGCTTAATGTGGCCTACTAGGCTGTTCTTAACTGGACTCCAGCCATCCTCATCACCTACCACTATTCTTTTCAAACACTGTACTCTAGTCACATGGTCTCAGGTTCTTCAATACATCAAAGCTTTTCTTCCTCAGGGCCTTTGCACAAGCTGTTCCTCTTACCTACCATGCTCTTTTCTCCACTGTTTAGTCTCTTCTATAATTACAGTTACATTTCACTTGTTTTGTCTATAGGTTAGAAAAGTTAAAAGCCAATAAATAGCATTTAAGAAATTATTTTGTGCATATGAGTCATTATAAAAACAAGTAGTGGCCAGATGTGGTGGCTCACGCCTGTAATCCCAGCTCTTTGGGAGGCCGAGGTGGGCAGATCATGAGGTCAGGAGATCGAGACCATCCTGGCTAACATGGTGAAACCCCATCTCTACTAAAAATACAAAAAATTAGCCGGGCGTGGTGGCGGGCACCTATTGTCCCAGCTACTCGGGAGGCTGAGGCAGGAGAATGATGGCATGAACCCGGGAGGCGGAGCTTGGAGCTTGAAGTGAGCCAAATAATGCCACTGCCAGAGCGAGACTCCATCTCAAAAAAAAAAAAAAAAAAAAAATTCCTCTCTTAGGTGTTTACCCAAGAGAAATAAAAGCATATGTCCACAAACAGACTTGTACTTATATATTCGTAGGACTTTATTCCTAACAGCCTCAAGTTGTAAACAACCCAAATTCTGGCAGCAGAAGAATGGATAAACAAAGTTTCCTATACTGTACAGTGTACTATTAGTCAGCAAAGCAAGAGAACCTTGAATACATGCAACAACGTGAGCCTCCAACATAATATATTGAACAAAAGAAGTCAGATAATATAGTAATAGAAGAGTGCTTATGGTATGAATTTTTTTTTAATTTTTTTTTTTTTTTTTTTTTTGAGACGGAGTCTTTCCCTGTGGTCCAGGTTGGAGTGCAATGGCACAATCTCGGCTCCCTGCAACCTCTGCCTCCCGGGTTCAAATGATTCTCCTGCCTCAGCCTCCTAAGTAGCTGGGATTACAGGTGCCCGCCACCACACCCAGCTAATTTTTGTGTTTTTGGTAGACATGGGGTTTCACCATGTTTGCCAGGCTGCTCTCGAACTCCTGATCTTGTGATCTGCCAGCCTCGGCATCCCAAAGTGGTGGGATTACAGGCGTGAGCCACCACTCCTGGCCGTGGTATGATTCTATCTATGTAAAGTTAAAAGCCAAGCAAACCAATCTATAGCTATGGAAATCAGAACAACCATTGCCTCTGGGTGTGTGTGTGTAGGGCGTGGACACTGGCATCAAAGGGCACAAAGGAACTTCCAGGGCTGATGCAAATGCTCTGTATCCTGCTTTGGGTTACAAAGGTGTATACATTTGTCAAAACTCATTAAACTGTAAACTGAAGAGCTGTGCTTTTTATTGTGTATGAAATATATCTCAAAGAATAATATGATCTTATGCTTTTGTAACTTGGCTGCTCAAAAAAGACACTTTCAAGAATCAAGTCCAATGAATCATTTTATTTTCTTTCTAGCTTCCTTCACTTCTCCTGGATCATACTCAAAGCTCATGTATGTTATTAATGACAGGTTATCATACATGCTTCCCTATAGGACTCTTATTTTACATGTTATTTTATGATGTTACACATTTCATTTTCACGTAGCTGAAAAGTACAATGTGGCACATTGGTAATAGTGAGTATACCTTGAGATACCTTGACAGTGAAGGTGAAAACTAAAACCACTAAAAGTATGACCTAAGAATTAAAAACGAGTGTGGGCCTAGAGTAATTGAGACACGAATCAGACATGGCTATACATTTTTCTAGACAAAGGGCATCACATTTTATAATAGCATTCTTCCAGAAATGTTAAATAAAATGTAATATACTCTATTTTAAATGTGAGGAAGGATAAATACAGGATAAATTCCATAGAGAACAGTTTTGAAAACATTTTTGTTTTGGTGCTGAAAGGGGTGAAACATCAGCTCTCTGGATCAATCCAGGCAACGATTAAAGCCACTCCATGGTAGAGCCTGGAACTGATGGTAAAAGAGCAACCTTCAAGAAAACGACTGACATTAAACAACTATGTGGAGCTTCAGGCAACTAAAACGAGTCATGCAATACTAACAGGCAATGACTTAGCACCATGACTGCCCACATGTCATTCTCTTATTGCTGTAATGATGCTGAATGATTCAGAGAGCATGTGCTTTCCTTGAGCCACGTGAGTATGAGCACTTCACAGGGTGAGGCCATAAAAAGGTCTTGCTAATTCTTCTGAAAGCAAACCATTCTAAATGGGCTCTCAGAGAGTTTTCTGGGTTATTTCTACTCTATATTTATTTTTGTTTTGATTTTTTATATTTTTTAGACAGGGTCTCACTATGTTGGCCAGGTTGGTCTTGAACTCCCAGCCTTAAGTGATCCTTCCACCTCAGCCTCCCAAAGCACTAGGATTGCAGGAATAAGCCACCGTGCTGGGACAATTTTTTTTTTTTTTTTTTTAAGAGATGAGGTCTCACTTTGTCACCCAGGGTGAAATGCAGTGGTAGGTCATAGCTCCCTGCAGCCTGGAATTCCTGGGTTTAATCAGTCCTCCTGTACCAGCCTCCCAGTTAGCTAGGACTACAGGCCCAAGCCACCACACTCAGCTCAGTTCTCTGAAGATTTGATCATTGAAATTTTCCAGTAAACTTGAAAAAAGAGAAAGAGAGAAAAAAAAAACTAATTAAACTTCCTACAACAAATACTGTACAAGGAGAGGTAAAGTATTAGAGACACTTTGTTGTGTTGAAGAAGCAGCTTGATGAGTAGAATTTTCAAATAAGAGAAAAAGGCAGAATGGCCAAGAGGAAGAGACCTTCTGATTTTAAAGACTAAAGAAAATCTTGCTGAAATTAGATAGCATAATGAAAAGGAGAACCCTCCTAGTTTGAGGTATTGCATCCCTGAACTCAGATTTCTATTTTAATTAGATGCTGTATTTCTGCCCCATGGAAGAATTCTCACAGGGAGGCAGATGCTGTTGGAAGGAGAGAGGCTGGAATGTCCGTAGTGGTCAAGAGAAATGTGTATGTGGGCGTGTGGGAGGGTATCAAGGGAAGTGATCACTGCCAAGCTGATTTGTTTTTTAACTGCCAAAGCATTCCCAGGATATTCTTCCTGGTTGCTAGGATTAGAGAGCTGGTAAGTTTCAACAATATGTCTATCTATTCCAAGTACAGGCATTTTTTTGGTAAACACATTTTTAATTCTAAAAAGACAAGGTTAAAATTAAGGAAACTTTGAAACAAAATGACCACTCATAATTCCACTACTCTTCAGTAGGTGATATGGTATTTTTGTGTTTTCTTCTAGTGTAAACACTCCCTTAATAAGACTTTTAGGTGAGTTTCCTGTTGGCATAATATCTGTTAAAGCAGCTTCTAACGCCCAACAAGCTGGGAATAGTTCTCCAGTCCTGGATCACTCTGCCTTTAGGTGGAAAGTTGAACCTCAGAGATAAATTATTAATACCTACAAATAAAATTTCATGACTATTTTCAAGATTCTCCGTTTCCACAACTGCTGATCAGTGACTGTGTAGCTTGCTGAAGTAAAGGAAGGTAAACATTGTGGGTAAGAGAACCTCTCCATATCTCTCCAGAAGGGGCCGAAGGGTCACCATCCTAACTCACTGTTTAGGAAGAAAACTGAGCCCCAGAAAGGTTACAGAGGTAATAAGTGCTAGAGCTCAGACTCGAACCAAGGTCTTCAAAAATAAAACTTAAAATTTTAAATAACGTTAGATTTATGGAAAAGTTACAAAAATAGTGCAGAGAGTTTATGTCTAACCTTCACCCAGATTTCCCTAATGTTAATAATTACCCAGCTATAGTTAAATGATCAAAACCAGAAAATTAACTTAATTCACACTGGTACAATACTATTAAATTACAGACCTAATTTGAATTTTATGAGTTTTCTCCCTTGTGTCTTTTTTTTTTTTTTCCTGTTGGATCTGATTCAGAATCCCATATTGCATTTAGGTTCCACTTGTCAGTCTTCTCCAATCTGAGAGATTGTCTCACACTCCTCCTTCCAAAACCCTGACCCTTTTGAAGAGTCAGGGTCAGCACTTTGGGAGGCTGGGGTGGGTGGATCACCTGAGGTCAGGAGTTCAAGACCAGCCTGACCAACATGGTGAAACCCTATCTCTATTAAAAATACAAAACAATTAGCCGGGCGTGGTGGCGCATGCCTGTAATCACAGCTACTCCGGAGGCTGAGGTAGAAGAATCACTTGAACCCAGGAGGCAGAGATTGTAGTGAGGCAAGATGGTGCCACTGCACACCAGCCTGGGTGATGGAGTGAGACTCTGTCTCAAAAAAAAAAAAACAAAAAAAACAAAAAAAACCAAACAGATGGCATCTGTCAGGTCTCTCCACTGTAAACCTACTATGTTTTCCTTTGTGATTGATAGATACTTTGGAGGAGATACACTGGGCCTATGCTAATATTCTGTTTTACCTCAAACTTTCACCCAGTGATTTTAGACTACCAGTAGATTTTGCCTGCAACAATTATTATTGTGTTGTCTACTGAACAATGACTTTGTATTTTCCTCATATCTCCTGCATTTATTAATTACAATTCTCCTGAAAGGCAGAAGTATCTCTTCCCCCACATTAATTTATGTATTTATTCATTCATTTATTTATTTATATTGATATGTATGGAGTGATGGATATTTATTTTATTCCACTAGTTTAGAATCAAATACGATCATTATTTTCCTGGTCAAATTGTTCCAACTTTGGCCATTGTAAACCCTTTAGGTGGGGTCTTGTATGCTTTTGATCCTGTCATTGGAGAGTAGCTGTCGTTGTTTTCAGTCCTTCCTTATTTTGTGACATCACAAGATTTTCATGCTCAATTAGATTTTCCCTGACCCAGTCCTAGAATCAAGCACTTTTCCAAGGAACTCTATGAAACAAGACCTTCTGATGTAAAACTCTTGTGCTCCTTCCATTGGCTCATGTTATATGTAAAACAATTTAGACTTGAACCCTTTACAAAGTTTTTCAAAAATATACTGCAAAGACAGGTGGAGTTCGTACTTGTTCAGTTTGTTCTAGTCGTCAAACATCGTTTATGTTACTCCCAGTGCTCCTCCGTCCACCCTATTTGTACCACCAGGATGATCCAGACATGAGGAAGATGAGAAGATATGGAAGTGGATTAAAGTGTAGAGAAGGGTATGGATGTAAACAGAGGTGATGTGGATACAGATGACGACATGGATAGGGAGGCTGTGAGAATCCCTAGATGGAACTCAAATATACACACCCAAATTCTTTTTTCTTCATCACTATGTAAATAAAAAACAGAAAGCCTTTAAAAGCAAGTCCAGAATTTTTGAAGTTTAAATTTTTCTGGCTTTTCTTGACTCTGCCTGTAGAGAAAGTGCTCTCTGTGACTTCAACTTTTCTTCTCTCTCTCTTCCCACCTCAAGTTGCCTCCGTCAGCTGTCTGGGCTGGTTCAGGGGTCATGGCAAACGTCCTTCTCGATGAATCTCACGCACTCACTGGGTGTGTATTATTATACGCCCTGTGTTAGGGATGAATAAAATTAAACACATGGATATTAGATGAGAACAGAGTTAAATTCATAGAAATTAAGAGAAAGACTGGAAACAAACAAAAAAAACCCCTCTAGATTTCCAATCTTTGCATAAATAATAGGACTTCACACACACACACACAAAAACCTAGAAAATCTATTCCAAATAGATGAGTATGAAATATCTGCAGTAAGTCCTATCTTCCATTTCAGAATCTAAGAACACTGGAGAGTAACAACTGCACAGTTTCCTGGGGTATGTTATGAGCACAAGATTGTTTTTCTGCCTTATGAATAGTAATTCTATATATTTTCTATAAAGGTGACACTATACTTTTTCTATATACTTGTCAGGGTGTGTGCATGTATGTGCATGGTGTGTGTGTAAGACAGAGATAGAGGAAAGGGGGAAAGAGAGAGAGATAATGTACTAGTTTCTTATTTTTACAGGAAATTTAATACGTGTCAGTACAAATCTAGACTGAGACTGACTCATTTGGCAGGGAGAATACGTTTACATGCCAGAGTAAAAACAGAATGGGGTGAGATCTCAAGAAAAGGGAGTGAGAAGGCAGTTTACAATTTAAGATATGAATAGAGATGCCTTATTAAAATTATTTTCAGCTAGGTAGGGAGGCGGTGGCTCACGCCTATAATCCCAGCACTTTGCGAGGCCGAGACAGGCTGATCCCGACGTCAGGAGATGGAGACCATCCTGGCTAACACGGTGAAACCCCATCTCTACTAAAAATACAAAAGAAATTAGCCGGGTGTGGTGGCAAGTGCCTGTTGTCCCAGCTACTCCGGAGGTTGAGGCAGGAGAGTGGTGTGAACCCAGGAGGCGGAGCTTGCAGTGAGCCGAGATCGCACCACTACACTCCAGCCTAGGCAACAGACAGAGACTCCGTCTCAAAAAAAAAAACAAAAACAAAAACAAAAAAGAAAAAACTCCACTGTTAGGTATTTACCCAAGAGAAATAAAAGCATATGTCTACAGAAAGACTTGTACTTAAATATTCATAGGACTTTATTCCTAATAGCCCCAAGTTGTAAACAATCCAAATTCTGGCAGCAGAAGAATGGATAAACAAAGTGTGCTATACAGTCCAGTGTACTATTAGCAAAGCAAGAGAACCTTGAATACATGCAACAACGTGAGCCTTGCATCCTTTTCTAATGGAGTTGTATAAAAAGGAGCCGGTCCTAGGAGAGCTGTTGCTTCTTGTTAGTGTATTTGTCACCCTTAGTTCCTAGTAAGCACCTTCTTATGGGACTCAGATTTCCTGAGTTTGAGAGCCTACCAGATTGACACAAGGGAGGAGAGAATCCTATTTGCAACATAGAGGAGATAGCAGCTGACAAGGAGCAGTGAAGCCCTGGGCAAAGAATGGAGCTAATGGAACATGGACTTGTCCCTCACACTCCTGAGCTCTGTCAACATATGAGGTTGGTGCTAAAACACAAACACAAGCACACCACCTCATTGGATGCTGCTCTTCCTTAGACCTGCAGCTACTTGCCTTTGTCTCCTGGACTAGACTCCTGGAAAGACTAGCATGATGGCTGAAAGGAAAGACGTGATGGAGAGATCCAGGAAGTGGGCCATAGGTGGGATTAGAGGGATGACTGCCTACACAGTGGAGCTGAATTTAAAAGAAATTCACCCACAAAAGGCTGTCATGCATTGGTCAGCTCTGGTGGTAGAGAGTTTTGGTTAACTCTTGAGTCAGTGAGTCTCGGATAGGTGTAAAGTGTGTGCTGCAATCATAGAAAGTATGATGTGTAGGGTAAATGGCATGGCAGATTCCAAAAAACGAAATACACACATGGATTCTGTAGGGTAGAGCAGCTTACAGGTTGAAAAGTAATTGGAAGGCCGGGTGCATTGGCTCACACCTGTGGTCCCAGCGCTTTGGGAGGGCAAGTCGGGCGGATCACGAGGTCAGGAGTTCAAGGTCAGCCTGGCCAACATGGTGAAACTGCCATCTTTACTAAAAATACAAAAATTAGCCAGGCATGCTGGTGCGTGCCTTTAGTTCCTGCTACTCAGGAGGCTGAGGCAGGAGAATTACTCGAACCTGGGAGGCTGAGGTTGCAGTGAGCGGAGATCGCACCACTGCACTGCAGACTGGGCAACAGAGCGAGACTGTCTCCAAAAAAAAAAAAAAAAAAAAAATTATTTTCAATTTCTCCTAGTCATGTTGAATTTTCATCCTGACCTCCACAGTGCTTGTTTCAAACTATCTAGAAAATGTCCTCCTCCCGTTTGATCCCAACAATTATTGAGTATTTATGTCTAACGTATTCTACCTTCTCTACATCTTGTGCACTTACCTCCTCCTTTCTATCCCCACAGGTACCCACCTGATCTCGACTCACTGCCACCTCTGCCTCCCGGGTTCAAGACATTCTCCTGCCTCAGCCTCTTGAGTAGCTGGGATTACAGGTGCGTGCCACCAAGCCCAGCTAATTTTTGTATTTTTAGTAGAGACGGGGTTTCACCATGTTGGTCAGGATGGTCTCAAACTCCTGACCTTGTGATCCGCCCACCTCGGCCTTCCAAAGTGCTGGGATTACAGGCGTGAGCCACGGCGCTTGGCCTTATTTTTGTTTTTGTTTTTGTTTCCTTCAAGTGAACTCCCTCACCAAGTGTTGTCTGGACTATTGCTATAGTCTTATGCCTCTGAATTACTCATCCCTTGAAACTCATCCCAAGCACTTTCTCTTACTCAATAAGAGCCAGTCGTTTCTCTCCTGGTGCAGCCAGCAAATCTTGGGTTAACCCATGCTATAATTCTGCCCTGAATATATTCTAATTAATAGTTTACATACTACTCGTCTGGAGGCTGTGAGCTTCTGGAGGAGTGGGGATTGTATCCTCCTTATTTTTGTATCCCAGTGACTAACAGTGTGGGGTAAATTAAGTGTTTGGTCAATGAATAAAAAAATGAACATATAGGCCGGGCGCAGTGACTCACGCTTGTAATACCAGCACTTTGGGAGGCCGAGGTGGGCAGATCACGAGGTCAGAAGATCGAGACCATCTTGGCTAACATGATGAAACCTCGTCTCAAAAACAAAACCACATAAGTGGATGAATAAATTAAGAAATCTACTCAGTAACACTGATGAAATATTAACTAGTAAAATACTCACCATCAGTCCCAGCAAACGTTTCTCCCTGGGGCCAACAATTTATCACATGGAAGATGGTCTCCCTTAAGATGACATCTTACAAGCTGTAGTTTCTCTTCGATAAATAAATTATGGTTTTCAAAATATCAAGAGTCACACTTCCCTTCTGAGGGAATTTGTAGTTCTTGTGCCTCATATCTCCATCTAGTGAAGCAAATTGGTAATACACCAATTAAGATACTTCTGTATGAATATAAGAAACACAGTTGTGAAAAAAATTATTTATAGAAAATTACCCTTCCTTGTGGCTCACGCCTGTAATCCCATCTCTTTGGGAGGCCGAGGCCGAGGCTGGCGGATGACGAGGTCAGGAGATCAAGACCATCCTGGCTGACACGGTGAAACCCCGTCTCTACTAAAAACACAAAAAATTAGCTAGGAGTCGTGGCGGGCGCCTGTAGTCCCAGCTACTCAGGAGGCTGAAGTAGGAGAATGGTGTGAACCCGGGAGGCGGAGCTTGCAGTGAGCCAAGATCATGCCACTGCACCCCAGCCTGGGCGACAGAGTGAGACTCCGTCTGGAAAAAAAAAAAAAAGAAAAAAAGAAAATTACCCTTCCTTTTCCAAGGTTCAAAAACCTTGAATTGTATCTACTTTATATTTTCTGGAGTTCAGCAAGTTCTTTCTTTCCCAAATAGCCTATTTCTAAATATCTCGACCGTGTCATGCTATTGGAAAATATATGGGTGTATAAAAAACTTATGATTAGTTTGTCTTTCACCACTTTTAAATCAAAAAACCGTTGGTATTTGTTAACACGAATGTTATTTAGATATGCTGTAGACTAATATGAATAAAATTTTTGAAAATTATGCTAACAATCCTACCAATTTAACAAATATTTATAAAGGATTATTTATTTTTTGTTTTGTTTTGTTTTGAGATGGAGTCTCGCTCTGTCGCCCAGGTTGGAGTGTAATGGCGTGCTCTCGGCTCACTGCAACCTCCACCTCCCGGGTTCAAGTGATTCTCCTGCCTCAGCCTCCTGAGTAGCTGGGATTACAGGTGCCCCCACCACGCCTGGCTAATTTTTGTATTTTTAGTAGAGATGGGGTTTCACCATGTTGGTCAGGCTGGTCTCAAACTCCTGACCTCGTGAACCGTCTGCCTCAGCCTCCCAAAGTGCTGGGATTACAAGCATGAGCCCCTGTGTCCGGCCTCATTTTTGTTTTTGTTTTTGTATCCTATAACTTTTTTTTAAGTTCTGGGGTACATGTGCAGGATGTGCAGGTTCGTTACATAGGTAAATGTGTGCCATGGTGGTTTGCTGCACAGATCAACCCATCACCTTGGTATTAAGCCCAGCATCCATTGGCTATTCTTCCTGATGCTCTTCCTCCCCCTATGGCCCTCCCCGCAATGAGCCTCAGTGTGTTTTGTTCCATGCCATGTGTCCACGTGATCTCATCATTCAGCACCCACTTATACGTGAGAACATGCAGTGATTTGTTTTCTGTTCCTGTGTTAGTTTGCTGAAGATAACAGCTTCCAGATCCATCGGTGTCCCTACAAAGGACATTATCTCGTTCCTTTTTATGGCTGCATACTATTCCATGGTGTATATGTACCATGTTGTCTTTATCCAGTCCATCATTGATAGGCATTTGGGTTGATTCCATGTCTTTGCTATTGTGAATAGTGCTGCAATAAACATACAGGTGCATGTATATTAATAACAGAGTGATTTATATTCCTTTGGGTATATACCTAGCAATGGGATTGCTGTGTCAAATGATATATCTGCCTCTATATCTTTGAGGAATTGCCATACTGTCTTCCACAATGGTTGAACTAATTTACATTCCCATCAACAGTGTAAAAGTGTTCCTTTTTCTCTGCAACCTCGCCAGTATCTGTTGTTTCTGAACTTTCTAATAATTGCCATTCTGACTGGCATGAGATGATATCTCATTGTGGTTTTGATTTGCCTTTCTCTAAAGATCACTGATATTAAGCTTTTTTTCATATGTTTGTTGGCCCCATGAATGCCTTCTTTTGAGAAGTGTCTGTTCATGTTTTTTGCCTTTTGTTTTTTTCTTTTTTTTGAGACAGAGTCTCATTCTGTCACCCAGGCTGGAGTTCAGTGGTACGATCTCCGCTCACTACAAGCTCCGCCTCCCAGGTTCATGCCATTCTCCTGCCTCAGCCTCCCCAGTAGCTGGGACTACAGGCACCTGCCACCATGCCCGGCTAATTTTGTGTATTTTTAGTAGAGACGAGGTTTCACCGTGTTAGCCAGGATGGTCTCGATCTCCTGACCTCGCGATCCACCCACTTCGGCCTCCCAAAGTGCTAGGATTATAGGCGTGAGCCACCTAACCCAGCCTCTTTGCCTACTTTTTAATGGGGTTGTTTGTTTTTTTTCTTGTAAATTTGCTTAAGTTCCTTACAGATTCTGGATATTAGGCCTTTGTCAGATAGATTGCAAAAATTATCTCCCATTCTGTAGGTTGTCTGTTCACTCTGGTGATAGTTTCTTTTGATATGCAGGTGTTCTTAGGTTTAATTAGATCCCATTTACCAATTTTTGCTTTGGTTGCAATTGCTTTTGGCGTTTTTGTCATGAAATCCTTACCTGTGCCTACGTTCTAAATGGTATTGACTCAGCAATACTCAGCCTCAGCCCAGTTCTGTACCCTTGCTGGAGAGGTGTTGCAGTCATTTGGAGGAGAAGAGACACTCTGGCTGTTGTGTGGTCTCCCTGATGTCCTGGAATGTCCTGGCCAATTGAGTGATGGTTTTTCTCTCCAGTGCATCCTCCCCGACCAGCCAGCTCTTCCCTCCCCAGCTCTTGCCCTGCAGTGACTCTGAAAGCTTGTTGTTCCATTTACTGCTTACACTCACTTCATTTCATAGAGTAAAAGGTGCTTCTCAAACATAAGTTTATGTTGTTTGCCTTCAGCTCCCCCTGTATTCTCTCACCATGTCTTCGGCGTGGAGAAGTAGGAACCTAAACATGGGAAGTGAACATCAAAATATGAGAAGATTAAGACTAGAGAGGCAAATATTTTTATATTTTGTGGCAAAGGAGATGCAGTCAAAGTAGAGATTGGGAAAAAGGTTGAAAAAGTCTGCAAGGAGAAAAATCATCCTTTAACTGCTTACTGCATGCCAGGTAGAGATCTAAGTAAGCCCAAAACCATAGAGTGATCTTCAGTTTCTCTTATCCCACATGTTCACCCATTATCAAGTCTTGCTGGTTCTAGTATATTCCAGCTCATTGTATTTCTCTTCATCACCTCTGTGGCTAACAGCCTTTTCTAACCTAGATTTAATGCAGTAGTTTCCTAAGAAGTCTCTGTTTCCAATACTGATTTCTTACAATGTATTCACTGTACAGCAACTGGAATGACATTTTTAAAAAGTAAATAGGACCACGTCTCTCTCCTACTAATAATGAACTTTCCATGACTTTCCATTACACGTAAGGTCTAAATTCCGGGTAACAGCCTGCAAGGTACAAAGTGAGGCCCTTGAAATAGCATCTTATAGCTTCTTTGCTCTCTTGGTTTGAGCCACACTTTCTGTTGATTGACTGAAACCCCATGTGTGTTGAGGAGCATCTGTATATGTCGCTTTGTGAGAGTCACACTAGGTTAAAGCTAAGTCAATGACACATGCGGCTGTTGAAATAATTTTACTATTTAAGAGAACTACCAAATCTGTAGAGTTTATAGGCAGTTGGCAGAAAATAAAAGTGTTCCTGCACTTGTCCTTGATTTCCCTAATTGTGTAATCTCTTACATCATTATTTTTCCACCTACCACACCTATATGTTGTGACTGAACAGGGTAAAAAAAGTCTTAATCTCTCTAATGTTAACTCTTGATCAGTTGCTGTAGCCATCTATGAGATAGTATCTGGGCTTTGAAAAGAATGTTTAATTGCATTTTATTAGAGTTGTGTGCTATTGATAGAGGATAAGAGAGGGCCAGGTAAGCTTGACGTGTATGTATTGATTGTCTTAACCTCCCTGAGCTTTAGATTTAACGTTTAGTCTTTTTTTATTGGACAGCTTCACGTTTCTTAGGAATCTCAAATTCTGTATGGTATTTGAATCTTCACCAAATTAGAAGGAGAAAATCTGTAATGGTCAATGTATATCAGTTAAACTCTTCAGAATATGTGAGATGATAATAATTATCATTTATTGAGTTCTATGGGCCAGGAACTAAATGCTTTACAGTACAGAGATACTATATTAGATTGTCTACTTTTGGGAGGAGGGGAAGGGGAGATTTTCTTATGAGGGAAAAACTCCAAGATTACATCCCTGTTATCTTTCCTCTGAATAGTTTCTAAGTTATTTGATTAAAAATTATATTTTAATTAGAATTTGATGGCCTTTTAAAAACTTTTACTGACACTCAACATGTTTGTTTTTGTAGGAGCTGACTAGGGCTTTGGAACAGAAACCAGATGATGCACGATAGTATTGTCAAAGAGCTTATTGTCACATTCTTCTTGGGAGTTACTGTGGTAATTTTTCTTCCAAAGTATATTGTCCCTTTTTAATCAGTTACTTATACATTTTACCCATGACAAATTAGTCAAATGAAATAAAGGTTGTCTTTGAGGATTTTTTAATTGGTCTTTGATACAAGGTAAAGTAGCTCAAGTGTGACAGACATGTTGAGCAACACCCATTTACATTTTATGGATGTCTCATTTTCCTTCATTGGGTGGAGAATGTATATAGATTTCATTCATAGTTATTGGGTAAGCTGATAAAGAATAGTATCATATTTACTATTTGACAGAGTATTAAAATGAAATGCTCTTTGTATTTTTTATAAAAATGAATGTGGCCAGGCACGGTGGCTCATGCCTGTAATCCCAGCACTTTGGGAGGCCAAAGCTGGAGGATTACATGAGCCCAGGAGATCGAGTCCAGCCTGGACAACATAGCAAGACCCAGTCTATATTAAAAAATAATGTATTTCTGTATTTTGTAACTTTAAAAAGTTATTCTGATGAATAATCTGGATAGGGAAAAACTGAATTTTTTTTTTTTTTTTTTGGTTAGACGGAGTTTCTCTCTTGTTGCCTAGGCTGGAGTGCAGTGGCTTGATCTCAGCTCACTGCAGCCTTCTCCTCCTGGGTTCAAGCAGTTCTCCTGCCTCAGCCTCCCAGGTAGCTGGGACTACAGGCACGTGCCACCGTGCCTGGCTAATTTTGTATTTTTAGCAGAGACTGAGTTTCACCATGTTGGCCAGGCTGGTCTCAAACTCCTGACCACAGGTGATCCACCCTCCTTGGCCTCCCAAAATACTGGGATTACAGGTGAGAGCCACTGCA